GGAATATTTTTCACTTTTTAAATTAAAATGCTGCCATAAATGAAGTTTCTGCTACACTGCTTCTCTATGGGAGACCTATTATTCTTCCATTTTTAAATGCTATGTAAAGAGATAGTATTTGGGGTTTTTTTTCAGGTTAACTATGCAGGTTAGCCAGAATGGAATTTTTTTTTCCCTTTCATTCTTACTAAAATAAACAGTACAGTCCATCTATTTTTTAATTTGTTAAGGAAATTTTATTCTATAGTACTATTGCTAGAGCTTGCACTTTTGTACCCAGAGAATCCTGATAAAAAACATTCAGTCTTTTTTTTTCTATGATTAACATCTGCCTTTATTATTATCGTATCTTTTGTGTTTTCACCTCAAACTACTGCCTTTACCACCTCCTTAAATTTTCAGTAGTTCTTTGTAGTTCTTAATAAGTAAATCAGAATTGCATTTGAGAATTTAAGCAGTGATAAACTATAATTCATGACTTAATGTGAAACTACTTAAAACAGACCATTGTGCTAAAAAGCTTTACTATTAAACACTGCTAAGTTATTTCAATTTATTTAAATAAGAACAAACTGGAGAATTTACAACATCACATTCTCACATTTTGTTTACATTTAAACATCTCATTTTCTGATACATTTTTCATATTCAAATTTTATATTATTTTTATGTATTGGTTGTAGAGAGGGAGGATGGAAGAGAGAGAGAGAGAGAGAGAGAGAGAGAGAGAGAGAGAGAGAGAGGAGAGAGATCAACAGCAGTCCATTGCCTCCCATATACACCTGATGGGATCAAATCTGCAACCTCGGTATGTGCTCTGCTGGGGAATCGAACCAGCAACTTTTTGGTGTGCAGGATGGCACTCCAACTGAGCCGCACTGGCCAGTGTAAGGTACTTTCTAAGCTTCGTTTTATTTTCCAGTTGCACTTCTGTATTGATGTTTTCACCAATGCTGCTGTGAACATAGCTTCTATAGCTACTTTTAATGCTTTCTTCCACTTAAATTTATATCTGTCAGGTTTCCACTCTATTAAGTGACCCCACAAATGTCTCTGCTGCCTCCATGTTGCTTTCTACACTTGCTTGTCCTGATCTTTCTCACCTCTTGGCAGTGTTTGCTATGGCTCCTTATCTTTTCCTCCCTGGCGCAGTGTTCTCTTGGCTTCTATGTGAGAACACTCTCCCTTAGTTCCATCCTACTTATGTTTTCAGTCTCTTTCCTCCTGTTTTTGACTTTTTTTTATATAGAGATGCCACAGGATCCATCTTTGATTTTATTTGTTTTATCTTTAATCTCTCCTTTGATGATTTCATCTAATGCAATGACTTTAAGTATCATATTTAAGCCAAGGATTTGAAATTCACATTTCTAGCCCCAAACTGTCTCACAAGTTCCAAACACATTTTAAGTATGTACTCATTACTGCTACTTGAATATCTAAAGACATTTTTAATTAAACAAAACTGCTGATTTTCTCTCCAAAATGTACTTCACCCATAGTTGTTTTTGTTTGTCTGTTTGTTTATTTAAATTTTCATGGAAACTCCATCTAATATATATATTCTCCATATATATATATAATCTTGACTTCTTCCCTCATATATTATAGTGAGTCACTAGGAAATACCATTGGTTTCAAAATATATCCAGAAATGAACTTCATCCAAGCCACAGACATTTCTTTCTGGATTATTATGGCAGTGGCTTCATAATAGTTCTCCCTACCACTATCCTAAGCCCCAATAGTCCATCCTCCACAAAAGAGAACTACAGTGATCCTTTTAAAACACAAGTGAGTTCATCACTCAAAATAAACCAGTGCTTTTATTTTATTCAGAATGAAAGCCAGTCCTTAAATTGGCTTGTGAGATTCTGCACAATCCTGTCATCTCTTGCCTTCCTGATTGTTTGTCTTACTGTTCTTTCTCTGCTCTAACCACACTGGTATCTTTATAGATCCTTGGCTATGCTAGTTGTGCTGCCTGCTGACTTCTTCGCCTCTAGTCAGTATTCTGACTAGAAGAGTCTTTTCCCAGATATGTCCATACTTAGCTGAAGCACCTCCTTCAGATTTCTAAGTTTTATCTTTCCGTTTTGGTTACATACACCTTTCAATTTCTCTTTATTTTGTAGCACTGTTTAGTATTTTTTCCTAGATCAAACACAATAGTTTTCTTTCTTTTATTATTTGATTTTTTTAATTGTTTTCTTTCCCTCTATACTCTTTTTTATTGTACCAAGGCTTTTTAATTTTTTTTAAAAATTTCTTTATTGATTAAGGTATTACATATATGTCCTTGTCCCCCCATTGCCCCCACTCATGCCCTCAACCCCTGTTGTCTGTGTCCATTGGTTATGCTTATATGCATGCATACAAGTCCTTTGGTTGATTTCTTCCCCTTACCTCTGCCCTCCCCTACCTTCCCTCTGAAGTCTGATGGTCTGATCGATGCTTCTCTGTCTCTGGATCTGTTTTTGTTCATCAGTTTATGTTGTTCATTATATTCCATAAATGAGTGAGATCATGTGATATTTATCTTTATCTGACTGAAGAGCATATGCTAAGTGAAACAAGTGAATACATTTTTTTAAAATATATTTTATTGATTTTTTACAGAGAGGAAGGGAGAGAGATAGAGAGCTAGAAACATCGATGAGAGAGAAACATCGATCAGCCGCCTCCTGCACATCTCCCACTGGGGACGCGCCCGCAACCCAGGCACATGCCCCCGACCGGAATCGAACCTGGGACCCCCCAGTCCGCAGGCCGACGCTCCATCCACTGAGCCAAACCGGTTTCGGCTGAATACATTTTGATATATTAAATCTTAGAGCTTATTCAAACTATAGCATACCTCTCTTTAAAATGTTATGGTCATTCTATTCCATACACTTTTTATCATTTTAAACAATCTATCAATAGAAATTGTTTACTAAACTGTTGCAATACTTTTAAAATAATATTCATAACATAGTTCATACTTGCTTTTCTTAAAAAGTGTTCTGCATGTTGTGGTAATATCAAACGTAGGTAATCCTGTAACTACTTTGGGTGCAGTAACAAGGCAAATGAGAAAATATAAAATTTGTATCTTCTATAAAGTAAGTCAAATAAACAGCAATGCACTTTAAAATAATTGTAATTTCATTGTCTACAGAAATAAAATAAATTTATTAAACTAGCATGTGCAAATGTACACTTTTTTAATAAAGAGGAACTCTGTGGATAATATATCTTCTGATATATGGCAAACTCATTAGAATAGAGCAATAGTTATTATATGAAAAACCATACCAATGAAAGCTATTAAATGAGAAAATGGATGTCAATGTATCATAGTAAAACAACCGTGATTTTTATTTAAATTAAAATCAATTAGTGGTAAAATTTATATTTTCAATAAATACGAGTATGTTTATATACATATAGTATATCTAAGCCTTAACGTATTTCATTACGCTGGACAGAGAATCAATAGAAATGTGTTTCATTTGTCGTTTTGAGGAATGCTGCATAGTAGGAGAGGGCTACCTGGAAGAAGAGACACAGTGAATGTTCTTTATGCAATAGTGTGCTTAATGTGTCCTTACTTGTGGAAAACAGTTGAAAAAGCAACCAAATAAAACCGAAAGGAAATGTAGCCCTGCAGTTGTACAATAACATGCAATTGTTAACTCAGCATAAAGCTAACTTTTTATGTGAAACATTTTACAAGTTTGGCATGACTTAAGCATCAGATGATCTAATTTTAAAAAGCCACAGATATTTGAACAGTAAGTGAGCAGGTGAATTTCATATCCTTCTCTCTAGAAATCTGATTTGTATGTATAAATATTATCTCGTGTATGTGTATTCTGACATGTGATGATGGGTTGGTGTGGGACTCTGCATTCTGTTGATTAAATATGTCTATGACATATCTTCTTAAAATTTTAATCCATTTACTTTTATAGACATACTCTAATGTTTTTTTTACTTAATCTGCCTCTTCATTTTGATTTTTTATGTATGCATATTTATTTCCAATGATATTCTATCTTTTATATTGCAATGTATTTTTATAGGTAATACATTCTTTTACTGTTGTCATTATCTAATCTGACATAATTTTTCAATCATTACAGAAGCAAGTAATATTTTAAATGCTATTTCATATTTTCTAAATGCTACTATGTATTTTAAAATAATATTTTAGTTATTTTTAAAAATTATTTGCATGTTATTTTATCATTCTGCTTTGAAATGTGCCTGTTTTGTTTTTAGCATGTATCACTAGCTTATTAAGACTCAAACTCAATTTCCCAATCAATGTTGAAATTTACCAATATCTATATCTTTCCCTGAACAAGATTGTTTTCAACCACTCTGGTCTTTTATATTAAGCTGGTCCTCCTTATACTGGTTCAATATTCACCTGGAATATTATATATTGATTTCAATGTTTGTTCTTTAATTGTTTGGGCATTTTTAAAATTCAGCAAGCAAGATATATATTTTAACTAGAGGCCCGGTGCACAAATTCGTGGATGGGTGGGTTCTGGTTGGCCCACCCCTACCGGGGCTGATCTCACCGGCCAGGGGAAAGCCCCTGGTCGAACTCCAAGTCTAACTCCCAGTGGAGGGGACAATTTATATGTTAGGCTTTTATTATATAGGATATGTTTTTATTGATTTCAGAGAGGAAAAGAGAGAGAGAGAGAGAGACAGAAGCTTCAATGATGACAGAGAATCATTGATAGGCTGCCTTCTACACATCCCACACAAAGGATTCAGCCCACAACCCTGGCATATACCCTGACAGGAATCAAACCATGATCTCCTGGTTCATATGTCAATGCTCAACCACTGAGCCATGCTGGTTGGGCAGGATATTTTTAATTAAGATTTTATTTATTTAATTTTTAAAATCTTATTGCTTCCACCTGGATTAATTACTTTTCTTGATGGTGAATTTCCCCAAAATTATTTCAAAGATTATCTTTTTGTGGTAATATCCTTGATTCTGTGGGACTGAGAACATCTGTAACTCACTCTGCTATTTACATGACAGCTCAGATCAGAGGTCAGTAAAATTTGTCTGTAAATAATGAGATAGTAAATGTTAGGGGCTTTTCAGGCTCTATGGATTCTCTCTCAAGTCTCTACTCTGCCATTATTGTAGGAGAGTATCTATAGACAGAATGTAAATGAATCACATGGCTGTATTCTAATAAAATTTTATGTCCAAAACAGGCAGCAAGCTACAAGCCATAGTTTGTTTGACACTGCCTTGTATTTATATAAAATTCTGGATTTACTATTCTTTTCGTTGTTCTATATAGATATTACTACATTGTCTTTCGTCACTGGTGATGCATCTGGAAAATATATATTATTTTATCTATTATACTTCTATTAGTTTTATTCTCTTTTCTCAAGGAAGCTTTAATTTTATTTTTAAAATAAATTTAAATTTTATAATGTGTGTCTGGAGTTCTTTATGTAGCTTTTCCAATTTTTATCATTGATCTGTCCTATCTGTCCTATTCAGAGCTATATGCGCCCTTCCAATCCATCAATTTGTTTTTAATAATTCTCAATTTATTGTTTATTATTTGTATGAATATTAATCCTTTTCCATTTATATCATTCCGGCCTTCCAGATCCCTTAAATAATAGGTACTTCTAATCTGTTTTTCTAATTTTATCTCTCAGCCTATCTATCTTCTTTGTACCTCTTGGGTGAGTTTTTGACCCTGAGTTCCAGGATACTCACATCTTTTTGCTGTTGTATTAATTTCTAACACTGATTCGTTAGTTCAACAGTTAGGTTTTTATATTTCTAGTATTGTTTGTCAGGTTGAAGATATTTAAATTTTGGCCTTTTTTCTATTAATTCTGTTTTCTCTATGATATGACTTTCCATTTGTAGATTTTTTTCATAATATTTATTTTCATGTGTTTTACCATTATTTCTTGTGAATTTCTCTTTGTTTCCCCCTTTGGGGCTCTCTGCTGCTAAAGTTAATTCAATTCACTTTACCCTAATTTGTGCTTTTGCAAGTAAGATTTGTGGTAGTAAGTGCCCGGGACCTCAGAGTAGGCAATCTCTTCACATGCTGCCTTCAGAACTGGCAATTCCAATCCATATGTTCCCTAACTTCTCCCCACCACTGGCCACCCTTGTGTCCTCCATTCATATCAAGTCTGTTCTCCTAGCCTTCTTCATATCTGGGGGTTTCTTTTGTGTGTGGGAAAGGAAGAAAAGAAGCCAGGAGATTTTTATCTGCTTCGATGCTTTTGGAAAACAATCCTGGCTCATACAGGAGGGGCTCCAAATAAATGTAGTACATACAAGCCTGGCTGGCTTGGCTCAGTTGTTTTGCATCAAACTATGAACCAGGAGGTCTCCATTCGATTCCCCATCAGGGCACATGCCTGGGTTGCAGGCTCTATCCCCAGGTGGGGCATGCAGGAAGCAGTTGATCAATGATTCTCTCTTATCATTGAGGTTTCTCTCCCTCTCTCCCTCTCCTTTCCTTTCTGAAATCAATAAAAATACATTGTTTAAAACATAATATATATATACAGTAATTTCTTAAGTTTCAATATTGATTAGCATTGTGCTACAGGTTTATGATTTTAATTATATAAATCTGGTGACTAAGTGACAAAGAAGTTGGGACATATATATGAAAAAAGTAAAGGTAGTTGGTAGGGAAATTTTATTTTAAGCCTCTGAATGTTCTTGTGGGAAGGCTCTGCTTTTATCTGGTACATCCTTGTGGCCACTTGAGGAATTGGTTTCCTCATAGTCTGTAAGATCAGAAAGTGTTTTGAATTGCAAAGTGTCTGACGCTCCACTTTATTAAAGAAGTTCTATTTTTCTATGACATAGATTTTACAAGTAACTTTGAAAGAAAGTAGGTTTTCCTCAGAGCAGTAGGTTCCATCTTTTCAAATTTAGCTATTACATGAAATTCACAAATGAGGATTTACTAGTGACAAGAGCCACAGCCCTTATGGGTAATTTGGTTCTCATGGTTTGGGGAGTGAACTAACGGGAAGGATTTTGCATTTGAATTAACCTAGAGATAAAAGTTGCCTATCATCTAGAATTCTGGGATAGTTTCTGAATTATCTTGACTGTAAGCATCCTTTTAACACTTTGGCTACTATAAATTATTTAATTAAACTATTTTATGTAGATTAAGTTGAGTGAATTAAATTTATATTAATGGATGGTTAGACAATACAGTTTTTTCCCCTAGTTACCTCCAAACTCTCAAATTCTCAAACTATATTTAATCTTACATTAAAGTACTTCAAGGCCTTCAAAGACTTCCAGTTTTCTTTGAGGTTAGTTACTTCCCTCCTCCCCCTCAATTCAACTACCTGGAAAAAACTATTTTAAAATGTTATAAAATTATTTAATGTTGAAATGTATATGAACTCATGAAAAACATGTTTATGAAAGTATGCTACAATAATTTGATTTAATTAAAATTTGAAAGAAAAGTGTTCACACTGAAATTATTGTTTTTCTTTTATTCCATAACAAAATTTAATAATCCTTGAATCTCTATAATCTTGAAAAGACTGATGAAATATATAGGGATGGACTAGCATTAATTTTGTCCCGAGAAGATGCATAATACTGTAAATGACTCAATTATATATGATTATCAGAGCATTGAAAATTATATTCACATTGGATTTTAAATGCTCTTTTGAGGATTTATAGCAAAATAGAATAACATTAAACTCCTACTGATATTTCAATATTCGATCATCATCTACTGGTTATCAAGAGTGAAATATCATTGCAATTTGTCTTCTATATAATTGCCTCATCAAATTTTGATATGGTGATATTTTTTTTCTTAGACTTTTAGTAGAAAACTAGTCATGTTGTCTTTTTTAAATACTCCATTGTTAACCAGAAAGCATTACTGCATTTTTTTTTATACTGGTGGCTAAGTAATTTATGCAGATAATTAAAGAAGTGCTTCAGTTTTCACTAAATCTTACGCATACTGTCTTTTCAGTCTGGATTAAGCTTAATGAAGTTGTTTGCATGCACTTTTCACTGATTTTGAGTTTGCAAACAAACTGACATAAAACTTATTGACTTTCAGCATATTTCCTCATTTTATTTATACATTGAAATCCGTTCAGTGCTATAACAAGTTTTCTTATGGAGTTCTTTATTATAATCAAAGGTTCCCTACTCCCCTGTTTAAACAATAGTAAATAAAATTAGGTGTAAACGCTTGCCTAAAATATAAATTTATGTAGACCCTGGAATAAAATAAATGAAATAAAGATAAAAGCATGGAAATTGTCTATTTCCTTTTAATATGCATATAAAAAAATAAAGGTAATAGAACAATTATTTTTTCAATAGGAAAAAAATATTATAGTGACCTAAATTGAATTATTAATTTATTTCTCTGCTTAAGCCATAGTATAGAATGCAGCTCCCAGAGTATATGTGAGACATTTTATACAAAAAAATTCTCTAGATATTTCCTCAGGAGAAGGCTCTTAGAAATTGACTGAAAGTCCACTTACAGGTCATCTATAACATCCTTCTCATTTGGAAAAAAGTTTTGTGTTCTGTTTTATGTAGTCTTCTGCTCCATTCTTGTTACACCCATGACCTTTACCCCCTGGTGTACTTTTGATTTTCCTGATTGTTAGATAAGATGCTAATCTAATAATGTAATGGTTCCTGGGTGCTCATTTATTTGCTTCTTGACTACTTCTCCATGAGCAGCAGGCTTTATAAGGAAAGGGGTCATCAATATAAGTTACTACTAACATATCAGATAATTTTTCTTAATAGATTTTTTTGTTGAATAAATAGAGATAATAGCTTTATTTAATTTAATTAATTATTACAACTACATGGAAAAGCATTTGTGTCAGGTGACTTTCTTAAGAGCAGACACAAATCTTGTCTTCATGGAAGTTTTTATCAATTACCAGGAATTAGCACAGTTTTCTGAGTATCAATCATCTGAAGATTTCATGTTTAAATCATTTTTTTAAAAAGAATCCATCTGTTGCTCTGGCCATTGTGGCTCAGTTGGTTGTACATCATCTGTGCATTCAAATGTTGCTGGTTTGATTCCCTGTCAGGGCACGATCCCCTGTAGGGATAATTTGGGAGGCATCAAATTGATGTTTCGCTCTTACATCTATTCTCTCTCTCTCCCTTCCTTCCTCTCTGTCTAAAAATATTTTTAAAAAATCCATCTGTTGAAATATCATAGATTTTGAGCACCCTCACAAATTATGTTAGATTGTTTTTCCAATTCATCTAGATGTGATTATACATATGACATAGTCAAGATTAATTGTTCTGGACTCATATTTAGTTCTACAAATGCATAAGTAATTTTGAAAAGGAAAATTAATCTAATTAAGTTACTACTCTCAAGTATTCTGTAAAACTCTTAGAGATATAATTAAAGTACCAAAATTTGATATAATGCTAATTAAGTACAAATATCAACGTGAACATGTCATTACAAATACATTCACTAAGCATCTGAAAGACATGTCCCACACATGCTATTTTTAGTAAATATTTACATATATCCTAACTATTTCATGGTTATCTAAATTTAAGTATTAAGTCAAAATATGACTACCTTAATAGACATTCTTTTATCCGTATTTTAGTAAACTTTTTAGTATTATAAATAAAACCAATTTATTCAGAAAATATTTCATGTTGTGTTGGTTAAAGTAAAGTTAAATCATTATGACACATTTATTACATCACTTAGGTTATTATTGAAATATTCATTTTACATTTATATAAGTACATAAAGGCAGTGATTTAGAATGAGATCATAAAAAGGATGTAATGAGATAATTACAAAGTTAATATCCAATAGTTTTTGAGGTTACACTTAATGACTGTGATTGTTTATAAAATGTTTTTCTTAGTAATGTCACACTACTATCTCATATAATGTTTGATGCATTCCAACTTGTTTTAATTGCTTCAGACACAAAGA